ACCGTCAAATCCCAAACTGGTCCAACATGGCCTAGTTTCTTGTGTAGGACCAAGGCCAGCATGTAGACCTAAGCTCTGGTGTAACAGAGTCAGAGCAAGCCCTGGGAGAAAGCCTAGTCTGATAGCTTAATATGACATCAAAGAGGCACAGCAAAATGCCAGCAGGGTTCTCCACAGGCAATGCATCCTGACAAGGTCTTACACGAGGGAACATGGCCAAACACAGAAATGGTCAAAGAACAGGTGACCTAAAGAAGCCTGGAGCTAGGGAAGCCTACTAGCCAGAAGTAGAACTCTTGGTGTGAGGCTGAGGGTTCCGTAAGAATCTAGTCTTACAGAGGCCTGGGTCCTGGGACATAAGGAAACAAGGCAGCAGCTGGATGGTCAGAGGCCCTTGCCTCACAGATGCAAGTCAGAAGCCAAGTCATCAGAAGTGGAGCCCACAGCTGATGCCAGTGCCACAGTCAGGATGTGGTGTCAGACAGAGCCTAGCGACTGGGCCTCACGAAACCCAGATGCTTCTGGAGCCAAGCACTGTTGTTAAGGGTCTAAGGATGTGAATTCAGGGACAAATGGGGGTTGCTGCCAACTGGAGAGGGAAGCCTTCTCTAAAGACTTTCAAATTTTAAAACTGTCCAAAAGACAATGCTAGTTGAGCCCCTTGACCTAGAGAGAGGTGTTGTGCAGAATCTGGGAACCTGGAAAAACCCACAGCTATCCTGCCTGGCATGAGATGAGTTACCTGAACAGGTGATCTCAGATGAGGAGTACATTCTGGCTGGGCTCTGCCCTAAAGGCATCCCTTTGCTGACCACAGTGACTTGTGCTCCTCCTTAACTCTGGTCTCTTCACCTTTTCACCTGTATCTTGGAGGTCATTTTGCTTCATAATCTAGAGCTTTCTGTTTCCAGATTATAAGCAAGTTAGGTGTTTTAAATGTGAGTCTCACTCAGCAGGTTAATCAACAAGTTTTCCTGGGTCCCAGGCTGGAGTGCAGTGGTACATTCATGGTCACCCCAGCATCGACCTGATGGACTCTGGCCATCCTTCTGCCTCAACCTTCTAAGTAGATGGAACTACAGGCATGTGCTACCTCGCCTGGCTAATTTTTTATTTATTACAGAGATGAGGTCTTGTAATATTGCCCGGGCTGGTCTCAAACCCAGGGGCTCAGGCCATCCACTTCCACTTGTCTTGGCCTCCCAAAGTGTTGGGATGATAGGCAGAGCCACTGAGCCCAGCCCCAATTATCCTTAAAGTCACCTGTTAGTAAACACTTAAAAGTGTACGTTATATTTGCATGCTATTTTAATAGAACACTTTTTCTTCTATGCTTGAATATAATTAATCCTATGATATGCCAGTTTGAGTCTCATGTCCCCACTGGCATGGGTGTCTTGGTTGGAAGCCAAGCAGCTCCAGGATGGCCTGCAGATATGCCACAATGAATATCTGGGTCCAGATGCCTTCCTCCTCTAAGTCTCAGCACAGGCAATGTTGAACTACCCACTTCTTGCATAAACCAGTCATTCTGCAAATGCTATTTGTTTCCTCTACTTGCTGAGGTGTGCCCTTCCCAGTGCCCCCAAAAGGTCACCAAATCAATATGTATTTTGACCAACCTCTCTTGGATTAACCCAAACAAACAAAGCCTTAGGGAGGCAGAAACATCTCGGGGAGGAGGTCCTTCAGAAATGGTGAGTTGTGTCAAGTGCACTGTGCATGCTGATAGATAAGCCTGTCTGGTGAGACTTGTCTCTGGCCCAGGTCACCAGCATGGCTCCAGATCCCAGGAATTCACTTTGTTTAAAGGACATTCTTCAAATAGAAACATAATTACACCAAGCCACATCTGCTTGTTAACCCTATCACATAGAGAACGGCTTTGTTTTGGCCAACTGGCCAGCACATGGTGTCCAAGTTTCTCTTTCTAAGGACACTTCCCGCAGCCCCTGGGACCAGGAGCTCACCATGAAAGCAAGGCTAGGGCCATGGGCCCTTCAGAAGCTGCCAGTAGACAACACAAATGCCCCATCAACACCTGCACAGGACAGACCAGGGCTGAGGGTTCCTCCCAGCCTCCCTCCTCCTGCATCTGGGAACAGGTGAGCTCTCTACAGAAGGAACATGGTGGTCCAATACCGGCTGCTGAGAGTCCTTTGCTGTTTTACAAGGATAGGTGTAAGCTTGTCTGTTGTACAGTGGATGGAATGGTCCACAGAGGCAGACTGGTATTGAGAGAGATGCACTCTATTCTGCAAAGGAGAGGCTTACTGTCTCCTGCCCCTGGCCATGTGTACCAACTTCGACATGACAAATTGGTCACTTCAGAATGACACAGACTCAATATACTAAATGCCAGATGTCCTTCTGTGAAGCTCCCTTTTGGCTCAGGGTACCGTCTCTTCCAAGATCATCTCATTACTTGTGGCCTGATTAAAGTGATACGGTGGTGGCCTCCATTCAGCAGCTGTGTGGGATACCGGTAATACCATCCTTGAGGGAGGCCAGAACTTCTTCCTCAAAAAACCCAGAGCACCCATTCTCTTGTCTTAATCTGGAAGAATAGACTTAGACTTTTATTTATGTTTCCATATTCAAGGGAAGTTAAAAAGTATCACTGTGATTTGCAGTAAGGGATCTTTAGCATCCAATTACTAATGTATTTTCTTTAAGAAAGTCTTTCATAAAGAAAATGGGTTTTCAGCCACCTTTTCACAGGATAAGCATGGTTAAGGAGCTGGCTATAAAACATGGACTTCTTGCTTATCCTGTGAAAAGGTAGCATGTCCTTTACTAAACCCACTGTTTAAAACAGAAGAGAGATACTGAAAAAGTGAGCAGATCTGTTTTAAGCAAGGGTTAGGAATTTTGCCTCAGCGCGCTCATAATTTTAAAGAGCAAAGCACATAAAACCAATTCCCCGGGCAAGAAGCTGCTGTATCCACAGAGTGATCACACCCAAGACCCACTTAGGCAGCACACAGGCTGCTGCTCTGACTCACTGATCCTGCAGGAAACCTTGAAGAAGGGATAACAATTCACCCCTTGGAAAAGATAAAGTTATTCTAATACTCCATCTCAAAGGTTGCACCTGTTCTCAGCAACTCCATTGGAAAATGCATGGTGGCAACTTATACTTTATAAGGAACAAAAGAAACCAAAGACAATTAGAAGAATGTGCTCAATTTGAAAGCATTTTTCACAATGACAGTTTCTACTTTTCAGGCAGACATTTTATCTTTCCTCATACATTTGTAAAACGGAATCCATCTATTATAGTATTAAGACATGATTCACAATGTTATTTTCTTAAAAAAAAAATCAAACGTACCCAGAAATCGGGCCCAAAGATAAGAATGGTGAGTAAATCCTAATATATACACTGATAAAACTTCATGCATATTCTAAAATTGTTTTTAAAACTGTAATAATATGACTCACTTATTAAGTTATCAAGTTGCATGGGAAAAGTGTACTCTAGCCAACAACTACTCTGTAAAACAAAGAGACGCACAGAAGCTCTAGTAACTCCACCGTCTAGTGTATGAACTGTGGAAGGAAGGGCCAGGAAACCGCCACAGGAGATGCATGCGATCATAGCTACAGGAGGACACCCCCGCAAGCTGCAAACCCCTAGAAAAGTCTGCCCTCCCCTAGTACCATTAAAATGCTATACCCTGTGACTCAACAGTTCTAATTCTAGGTACATGCCAAGTTCTAGAACAATTCTCTCCCAATTTTTGTTCACTTTTCTCATAAAATAATTGTAAAAAGTATATATCCCTTTGCCAATTAAACTGTCAGTAAGAATTTTCATTATAAATTCATTAATTTAATAAATTAGTAAAATAGTTACAAAGGATTAGGTAATCCCAGGTGTAATCTAAATACTGGTAAAAGAAAATGCTTGCATCACTTTTTAAAATGTATCTATGAGTGTAAAACATTCAGAGTGATGTGATTTCCACAATTATTCATCTTAAAATTATTCAAGAAAACTGCTTGATAAGAGTTAAACATTTTATATCATTTCTTATTCTCATTGTTTTCTTAGAAATGCTACTTCCTTTCACTCCTGCATCAGAATCACACAAATATATATTTGTGCTTAAGTTTTTGCAACTGTTAATCCTATCATACTACTCCACAGTAAAAACATGTGTAAACATTTACACTTAATTATTTTCCTGTGACTTTGTAAAAAATTTTTTATTATAGATTATCAGTGAAAGCATCTGTAAGAGCACAAAACTGACCAGACAACATAACTGTGATATATTTCAATCAATATCAAACACAAAATTTGAAAAACTGGCAATGAACTCATGATCTCATGACTGCAGGAGGCGTTGCCAGTGTTCTAGCCGTACCCTCTGTGAGTGACGTGTCCCACCACTTGGCTGCAGGCCCCTATGTGGGCAGAAAGCCCCAAGAAGAGTACATGCAGCAACAGAGGGCCTGGAAACAATTCCCTTAAACTGAAAATCCATGAATTGAGTTTTATTCCTTAAGCAAAACCTGTAATATTTTCATGTGAAAAAGTCGACCACAATTGCATTTACACTTCTACAGGTCAGCTCGCAAGTAGTCGTTGGAATGGCTCATCAGGAAGGCTGCCTTCCTAGCTGCGTCACCTCTGGGCCAGGCACCTGCAGCACCACGTGGCTGCTGGTCCCACCCGGGGGATGCTGGCCACCTGCTTGGACCTGCTATGAGACTCCAGGCCTGCCCTTCTTTCTGAGCTTCCCCTTTAGCAAGTGTGAACTGTGCAGCCACGGCTCTCCTGAGCCATGGTTTGGCTGGTTAGCACAAACTCATTCCAGGAGAGAGTTCAGGCTGTCCTAAGATGCTCCCTAGGCTAGGATTTATGTCCATGAGGCCCCCAGGGTGAGCTGCCATGGGAGAAAGTGCAATATACCAACATCCACCCTTCAAATCTCCTTCCCATACTTGCAGATGGGAGCCCAGTGACCCATCCCGGGGTGCGGGCCTCTTACCTCCCATTGAGCACGCTCCTCTTCTCCAGCCCGCTGGGCAGGACCACGGTGACATCCACAGTGCTGTCCCTCAGCGCCTCCTTCATGTGGACCCAGTTCTCCTGTGGGCCAAGGGCTGCATCGCAGGGAGGCTTCTGTTCACTGCGGAGGTTCAGAGCAGTGGGCTTTCCAGGAGGCGGGGGAGCACGGGCTTTCATCTTCCTCCTTAAGAACAACACAGATGCACGGAATAAGGGCAGTGTTCACATCTCCCTCGTAGTCACTCTTACACATGCTTATGTCTCTCTTCAGAGACGACTTCCAAGTTGCACGGCCTTTCTAAAATCAGGCCACTGGCACTCTTCAATGCTAACAGATATGATATCCTCCTGAAACAAGTACAAATGACACAAGTTTAAAAAAAAAAGAAAAAAGGAAGCATTTTTTAAAGGAAGCATCCCAAGAAACACCCTCCCTACAAATAAGCATGCCAACTGGGAGTGGCACAAGCCTTTTTCATCCAAGTCCTGATGGGTGGGAGGGTGGGGGCAGCGGAGTGTGCCGGCCCAGTTCTTCCCAAATCATCATAACCAACTCACGATCACAGTGAATGAGGTGGGCTCCATGGACGGGCTGCACTGTTCTAGTTCAGGTCCTGCCCCAGATCTGGCTCCAAGATCAGTTCTGAGGATCTGGAATCCACAGGTCCATGATCTCGAGGATGTGTTATGCTAAATGTGCCAGAAAGCACACGAGAGCAGCACCTGCCGACATGGCCACGGGGGATGGGGGCAGCTACTCAGCAGGCAAGGGACTTGAGTGACAGCGCAGGGATGACACACCAGCCCTTACATCTCTGTTTCACCTTGTTTCAAACGGTACTTTGAATGCCCAGTTCAGCTTGTGGGGAGCTTCCAAACACCTGACAACAAACCACCCACAGGATGAACATTTTTAGAAATTCTTGTTTCTAAAAGAGAAGGCACATGACCTTATTTTACATAGGCATTTTATTTTTTATATAGAATACATATGTCTGCATCGGTATCTATGTGTATGTGCATGTGTATATGTATGTGCAAACTTATTTCTATACAAGAGCCTTATTTCATACAGGCCCTGGGTATTTTATTATAATGACAGCTAGCATTTACTCAGCATTTCACAGTCATTAGGACTTATGCTAATTGATACCTTTAGTAAGTTTACCCCCTTAAGTCTTCAAAATATTTTGCAGCTAAGAAAACTGAGTTTCAAATCTGTAGCTCACCAGAAATCATACAATTATGCAGCGTCTAGGCAGAGATGGAAACCAGATTGGCTGACTCCAAAGGGTTACTGCCATGCCCCTCCCACCTCTGCCATGTTCCAGCCAGAGGATCCACAGAGAAGCAACTGGGTCCTCAGCACATGTCCGATCTTTTGCAAACCGGTCTGCTGTGAGGCACTCACTTGACAGAAAGCATCAGAAACACAGGAATTCTATTCCTAGAAACGTGCCCTAAAGAAATAATCCCACAAGATGGTATTGTAAAATAATTAAAGATGTTCATCACAACATAATCTCTAATTCGAAAACAAACAAATAAATAATTTAACCATATATCAATGACATTATCAAAAAATTAAAATACAATGTTATACCAGCACTAGGTAAATATACCCTAAAAGTATGTAGTTTTATGTACAAAATGTTCACTATAGACTTTTTTAAAAAAGCTTCAAAACATTATTTGTCTAGGAAAATTTCATCTTCAAAGACAGATTTACATTAATTACAGCAAGAGATCACAAAGCAATCTAGAAATATATAGAAAATAATTAGCAATAATGCCTTCTAGGTGATGGGTAGCATAACTTGCTATGCTATTTATATTTCTATGCATTTCCTAATTTTTAATAATATCACCTGTATATGCATTGCTTATAAAATGAAAGAGGTCATTTAAAAACAGGAAAATTGAATAGCAAATGTGATTCTGATGATGCTGTGAACTTACTGATGCTTATGCCACCAGTTAATACAACACTGTGGAATAACACATCGACTCATCCTCTGTTACAACAAGCAGATAAAAAATAATTCTCTTCCTTTTCTTGTTAAAAGCCTTATTTTAATAATATTTATAAATTTTATGCTATATTCTTATCCATTATATACTTATTTCCTTTCAATTTATAAGAATAAAAATAAAATAGTCAACATATATTGCACTGTTCTAAGCACTGAATATTTACTAATTCATTTATTCCTCACTGTGCCACTCTGAGGTGGTATCATTGTTATTCCTATTTTATAGATAAGGAATGTGAGCTCACCTTTCCAATAGTACAGAGAAATAAAGTCAGCACCAAACTCAAGACAATTTGGTTCCAGAGCCTGAAATGTTAGCCACTACATTATTCAGCCTCTATTATGAAGAGTTGAAAAAATTGAGACACAGATGGCTAGGTTATGGAGTCTTGCATTAAGCACCTTAGGTCTAGAGCTGGAAACCCGGTCTCCGAATCACTGGCATCACCTCCCAAAGGTGCTTTCAGAAAGAAATAAAATGTGTCTGTTCTATCATTGTCAGGAAACTAGTGTCTTTGCCAGTTCGGCTGCTTGAACTTATTCAGAACACGGAGTCAAGAGGAAGCAGCTACAGAAACGTCTATGTATTCAGCCACACGGTGACAGCAGCCAGAGGCAGGAGAGAGGCAGAGAGCTTTCAACATCCCTCACTTACCCCAAATAAGCAATCTGTTCCCAACTACCCAAAGCTCCCCCTGTGGTATCATTACATCTGCCCTTCCCCGCCCACTCACACTATCACCAGCCTGGTCTGAACCCGCATCACCGTGGTCCACACACACAGAGCTGGCTGGGAACTCTCTCTTCCTTCAAGTCAGCTCCCTTTCAATCAACTCTGCTTCTTTCTTAGAGTACTTCCTTCTACAGTATCACTGACAGCCACCCAGAAGGCTGTTGGTTTTCTCAGGCGTGACTTTGCTTGGAGCACGCCCTGCCCACATGCCTGGCACAGTTCACTGTTGCGGCCCGAGCTGCAATCCAGCAGGTTGCAAGGACACCAGGGAGGTCTGTTGCTCAGCATGGGGTTGTGTGCTTGTGTGTGTGTGTGTGTGTGTGTGTGTGTGTGTGTGTGTGTGTATGTGTATGTGTGTGTGTGTGTGTGTGTACACATGTATATACACATTTAAGTTAGTCAACATTTTAAAAACTGGAATATGTCACTGTAGTCACAAAATGAATTTTTGGCTCTTTTTGGGAAAAACAAAAAGATTTGATAAAGTCCCGTACACCTTCATAACAAAAAACGGCTGTGTGTTTTCATCTGGATCCATTGACCCTGGGACCTATTGGCTCAATGGCATCATACATCTGCCCCTTAAGGGTTGTAAACTGACATCCAAACCTAAAGAGTCTGAACATACCACTGACTCTTGATCTTGAACCTCTCTCTTCAGTCTTCTTCATCTAGAGTGCACTGTTCCTGAGAAACTAACGAATACTCCAATATTCCACCTGCCTTTGCCTCACTGCACTCCTGGCCTTATTTGTTTTTGCTCTCCAAGACACAACTCAAAATGTTTTCTGAAACATTTTGCCTAGAGATGGCTCTAGGTGCTTTAGGCCTGAGCACATATATGGCCAAGATCAGTGTTTCAACATTGGCTGCACTGTAGCTGGAAGCAGTTGGGGGGCTTAACCCATGCCCAGATCTCAATACAGACCAGCGCAATCTGAATACTGGAGAGTCGATTTATGTTAATGGATTGCAAAATTTTAGAATGAAGGTCCCTTTTAAACATTAAAAGGGCATATGATTGTAGTTGCAACTTTTTTTTGAGTTGGAGTCTCACTCTGTCGCCCAGACTGGAGTGCAGTGGCCACTCCCGGCCACCGCAGCCTCGACCTGCTGGGCTCCAGCGATCCTTCCGCCTCAGCCTTCCAAGTAACTGGAACTACAGGTGCGTGCTACCACGCCTGGTTAATTTTTGATTTATTGTAAAGATGAGGTCTCGCCAAGTTGTCCAGGCGGGTCTCGAACCCATGGGCTCAGGCAATCCACTCACCTCAGCCTCCCAAAGGCATGGGATTACAGGCTGAGCCACCGAGCCCGGCTGTAGTTGCAACTTTTATATCATTTGATGAAAGCAGTTGGTGTATTATATAAATCTCCTTTAACATATATGTCGACACATTTACAAGTTTGTGGTTTTAATTCATAGAATAAGAACTGCACATTTTGAGAAGTACACATAAAAAATGTCCACACCAAAAACAGTGCCTGAGGTGGGCAGGAATTCAAGAACCCTGTATGGTGGCTCTACATCTGTCTCTGGGTGCAGCGACCCCAGGTTGAGGCAACCTCCTGACACCACGCCCTGGAACCTGGACATCTATGCCCAACTCTCCCCCACCATTATTATTAAGCCCCTTATGTAGCAAGGTAGGAACCTAACTTCTCCAACTATTATTTAATATCTCTGGAAGGCAGCAAATGATATACTAAGGCTGTTTGCATTTTCAATATATGCACAACGCAGTTCATAGTTGTCATCGGTCACATAACAACACTTCAGTCAACTCTGGACTGCATGTACAATAGCAGTCCCATAAGATTATAACAATGTATTTGTATGTACTATACAAAAAATTGTATATTTAGACACAAAAATTCTTACTATTGTGTTACAATTGCCTATAGCACTCAGTATAGTAACATGCTGCACAGGTGTATAGCCTAGGAGCGATAGGGTATACCATATAGCCCAGGTATGTTGTAGGCTAGACCACCTAGGTTTGCATGAGTGTACTCCACGATGCCCACATAATGACAAAATCACCTAAGGTGATTTTGCATTTCTCAGAATGTTAAGTGACACATGATTGTAATTAAAAATGGTTATTGATGATGATAATGATAGCACTGAAAATTATATATGCTTTCTGCTACAAGGAACACTGTGGATTTATAAAAACTTAAGACAGGAATAAAAAAGAGATTGCAGAATACGAAATGTTTAAGATAAGCAAAACTTTCAGAGGGGAAAGAAATCTGCATAGACTGCAGTGACGACGGGATGTCCACCTCAGGAGAAGGCCTTGAGTAATCTTAAGGATGAGCAGATGTTAGAAATATGAGAGAAGGAAACAAAGGGAGAGGAAGGAGGAGGAGAAGTACCAGGTGGGAAGAAGAAAAGACTGCTGTAATGCACATCACAGAATAAAACG